TTCTTAGGAATGTCTAAATTCAGTTAAACTAGCAATTCCGTATTATATTTATAAATCTTTATAACATTATACAAAAATTAGATTTTTCTTAAAAATTGAAATTTTGCCGGGAATGGGGCTTTAAGACTGTCCCCGACGATAAATCGGGTCGGGCTGCGTCGGCCGATGCTGTCTGAGTTGGCCTTTAGTGAAAAAGTTTTCCTCCATTAGTGGAAAAGGAAGGGCGCCTTTTGCGTCTGGATATACTTAGCAACAGAAGGGCGCCCTGTACGTTGGGCACGAAGTATAGGAAACTTGCATGGTTAAAAAGAAGGGCGCTGCCTACGTTGGGCACGACTTCCGCCTCATTTTTACAATGCTAGAACTCTATCTTGTATTTCTAGTATCTTTGGGACAACTGACAAAAAATACAAAGTAAAGCAATATTTACACACACGAAACGAAAACAGAACATCGAATCAGCGGTAAAGAACAAAGGCGCGTAATAAGATGCGCATCCTAAACGTTCTACTTAATATGGAATAAACAAAGTAGATAAAAGCTGGATAAAGGCCTAGGAACCAAGAAAAAAATTAAGTATATATAAATGAATAGTCTGATAAGTAAACATTGTAAACATTTTGAAAAAAACATTATCCAGGCTACCAATTTCACGTTATATATAAACTTGCTTAATTCTTTACCATTTGTGTCATTGGAGGTAGGCCCTAATAGGGATGTGGATGACTGAGACAAGCTCAGGTCGACATCGAACTAGAAGGAACTCAATTGATACCTCCATGAATCAACTCATAGACAAATTTGCGCGTCTGTCAGTTTTTTTCAGTTTCTCGGAGTGCTCATGTCGACGAGCTGAGCTGAGTGTTCAGAGTCGATCTGGGTACCTGCCTTTAGATGCAACATTGGGCCTATACCCAATATCAACAAGACCAGATGAAATTCGTTGATCATTATACCCACTGATTCAATCTTTCTCCCCCTCCCACTCCATGTACACATTTTGCAAGGAGGGGTACACCACCCAGTGTAGCATCATCTAATTGTTTTAACTCTCTTTCAGGGTATCTATAGTAGCAGAGGCGTTTATGAAGTTGGTTGAAGAAGATCGGGATGGTCAAATCATGCGCGTAACACATATGAACGGGATAGACTTGCAGGAATACGACAAAACAGAACTAATTTGACGTGATCTATGAATGATCTTGCTTTATGGTTCTTTTTATGATGATTATTACTACTGTATATATTAGGCCCCTGTCATTTGAAATCGTTTGCGCAATTAACATGTGTGTAAGAAGATCGGAATAAACCTCAGTAGGACTACGACGAGGAAATTGTAGGACCTAAATTCTAATTATATTAATTGTATGAAGATATATTTTGCATTTGAAAATAGGCGTACTGTAGTGCAAAGAAATACATGATAGCTAGGATCCGACTGGAAGGAAAAACAATGATGAAAATCGATTCGAAAATTGTTTCAGAGGTAGCGCTAGGATTTGCCAGACTGGGGGTGGGGGAGGGAGGTCCCCGACGGTGATCGGGCGATGTCCACAAAAGAAAATGTTTCGAAAGTTCCAAAAAATATGACCGTTTATAGTTTTTAAAAGCTTATTTAATTGATTTTATTTAGAGTCTTAAACTTACGAAGACAAAATAAACTGAGTTGTTTTTTATTCTCTTACAGCAATAAAGATATCGATGAAAAGAAACCGACTCAATTCAATTCAAATGAACATTTATCATTCTTTAATACGACACATTAACAAAAATATCAAATTCACTTAATATTTTAAAAATATAAGACAAAATAATTCTACAAAATCAAAATGGTAAGGTACAATTTAAGTAACCGTATTATCAATCTAAGTAGCATTGCTCATTTTGGTAGACAATGGAGAAGGCAAGACAAGAAATTAAAGAGATCAACAAAGACATACGACCTAGCATTGTGATGTTTTCATTCTGTCTTTAATTGTTCTTTTTTCTTTTCCGCTATGTAGGCCTATGCCGTTTTCTCCTTTCCTTTCTTTTTTTCCGAACACTCTCATAATTGGTGCATAGGGTGGTAGCCACTGTGTGCTGAACAGTAGAGATCTCTATGTCCCTGGTTCAATTCCCATTGTTGCTCTCCTTGTGTTTCTGAGCTTGAGGGCTGAAATGCAAGTTACGATACGGTAGCGCACCGTCTTTCGGTCCCGTGTGCATTATGGCCGGTGTGAACGTTAAAGGACGCAGTATCACTATTCGGAAAAGTGTAGGGGATTGTCTCCCGGTATACTGCCCAATCAGCACGACCAGAAGGCAGTCACGGCTCTAGGATATAATTTATGGGGGGGGGGGGCTAAGGATT